ATAAGTCATAATTCTCTTTGCTTGGTGATCCTATCTGGATAATTCCTCTTTAGGCATGTCCAGTGTCTCCTGACCTTTTGAAGATGAGTATTTTCCTGCAAAGAAAAGAGCAGAACCCTGCCCCAACCCTTATGAGGTTTCTTTACCACCTGTATGATTGTCACCCCTGTGGATAAACTGCCATTTTTCCTTCTCAAAAGGTGTCCCTTTTTCTATCTGAATCTTTATTAATTTTGATGGTATCCATAGTTTTTCTTCTTTTTTGAAAACAAGAGCAAAACCCCTTCCCCAATGTAGCACATCTTTTGACTTCCATTGTGAGGTCAACATATCCTTGACATACATCAGCTGGTTTAATTCAGAAGACTTTTCTATTATCCAATGTCTCTCTGCTGCTGTTGTCCCTTTCTCAGCGTTAAGAAAATTCAAGGTTAATAAAGCATTATGTAATCTATTTCTGGGGGTATTTTTCACCCATTTCTGTTTGTTTAATATATCTTTTATAGTTCAATTTGATCTTTCTATAACTGCCTGGCCTATAGGATTGTGTGGTATAGTTGTAATATGCTTAATATTATAATAAGCAAAAAACTGTTTCATTTTCTTAAAGGCATATGCTGGACCATTATTCTTCTTTATTTGTGCAGGTATACCCATGATGTTCATAACTTCTAATAAATGTGTGATTATTAATCAGCCTTTTCTGAGCTTAAAGCAGTGGCCTACTAAAAACCTAAATACGTGTCTATGGTGGGGGCACATATTTTAATTTACAAAATTCTGTAAAGTGGAACACATCCATCTGCCAGATTTCATTCGTTTGAGTACCCTTTGGGTTAGTCCCTGTGGGTAGTTGTGGCTATGGAAAGAGCAAGTACAACTTCTCTTCATAATCTCCTTGTTGCCATGTAATAGAAAACTCTTTCTTTAAACCTTTGCTATTGACATTTTTTATGAAATTCTGAGGCCTGCAACGTGCTTCCAATCATAACCATATAAGCCTTGCAGAATACAATTCACAGTATTAGCAAAAATGTTACTAAAATTTCGATGTTAATGTAGTCTGCCATATTGATTTATGAGATCTGGTAAATTGTTTTAGGTGTAATAATCTTTATTGTCCAGCAGGTGTCATGGTTGCCGATTCTCAACTAACAGTGATGCAAAGGGTGGTGACACAAACATTCCTGAGCCACTTTAGATTCCCACCTTGGTACTGGCCAAATACTGAGAAATATGCTTTGTTTCACAAACTAAAAGCAATTAAATCAATTCCATACATGGAGAAAGAAGGCCAGAACTCACGGGTAGGGAGCACAAACCGGAAGCTGACAAGAGATGCCATGAGGCAAGGAATGCGGCAATGGGGGAGGGGATGTTCGCGAACTTGGGAAGTTTTCAAGTGGCTGCATGCAGTTAGTTCTGCTGTGGTGGGACTTTAAAAAAACTGCTTAGGTAAAAGCAAGCCAAGAGGACTGGGTTGGGAGACTTTCTGGGCTGTGGACCAGTTAGGCCTTTAAGCCATACACCCGGTAGGTGTGAAGTCCGAATCCACGTGGGGCGCCAGATGAAGGACATTTAAAAGAAATCCCACTAGCTCAGAATTGAGAATAATAGAGGATTATCTATTTTCGGGTAAACTCACAAGTCACAATTCTCTGCTGGAACCAAAAACAGCAACCAAATCCCGCAGCCAGAAAAGAGGCCAGATGCATGCCTTACATCAGCATAAATAGTACAAGAGGTCACACCCAAGTGGGCAGGTAACTTAAAGGCTACTGGCAGTAGGGATTCCTACAGCAAGGCAAAATAGATCAATAGAAATAAAATACAAAGATTATGTGAAGAAATTATGAATTCAGACTTTGTTATTAAATAGCTACATTTTCTAGACATGTGAAAAGAATGACCATATAATATCCCATTGTCTGCAATGGTTAGGTTTCTTTCATTTGTAAACCTTGACCTATGTATATTCCTTTCTAGAATAAGAGGTCAATCAAGTATAATGGGCAGTCATCTATGAAAAGACACGTGGAGCATAGATATTCTGATAAACGTTTCCTTTTTTGTTACTCCAAATGTTGACCTTCCTTCAAATGGGTTAATTTAAGATGTAAGAGTTAGCTAGAAATATGGAAAAGCTATTGGCTAAACAGTATTGTAATTAATGGAGTTTCTGTGTTACTCTTTGGATCTGGGCAGCCAGGAAATGAACAAGCAGTCTCCATCTACATTGTTCATTTGTAGAATAAATGACCCATCTACAAAACAAACCTTACACATAAGTCTCAAGGAACAGCCTGCAAGAAGGGAAAGAAAGTTTGCAGGAGCCAGAGGACAATGCTGTTTACTGAGAGATAGTATCTTCATTTTATTATAAGGAGCTGTACCCATGAAAATTATCTCAACAAGACATGCACAATGCCAATATCAGTGGGCATGGCAACATGGATCAGAGATTTCTCATAAGGCTCTACTGAGATGAAGCGCTATAGGCAGTTATTGGCTGCTGAGAGAAGGAGCATCAATTTTCTGGGATAAGTCTCAGATAGGTTATCTAATACCAAATGGTCAGACTTAAGTGCCTACACAAATGAGCAGCATTAAATGGACACTGTTGCGCTATTATTTTAATTGGATAAATACCCAGTCTTGTCTTATTTAGATGCCATATGCTACTACTCAGATAATTTTAAATTTTATTCTGAGTAATAATTAATTTCCATTTCTGGCATTATCAACTATAGAATATATGAGAATATCTTTCATTTCACACATTTGTCACTCAAATTAATAGCCAATTTTCATCATTTTAGTTGACTAAAGATATAATACATATTTGCAAAATATTTCTCCATCAAATGATCTAGCTTTTCTATTTACTGTTTCCTTATCTTAAAAGACTCTTTTCTTGAGATTTTGAAGGCTCTTTTTAAAACTTATTTGTCGTTGTGTATCTGCTGTTCTATAGAAATCCTAGATACCATTTTAATCACAGAACCACAGAGTACTGACTTCATTTCTCTTAATATTTTTGCAATTATATATTGCAGAAGAAAATAAGCCTTACTTAAAGATTTAGTGCATTTGCCATATTTTAAATAATTAAATGAACACTTATTACAGTTCAAAGTCAAAGCACCTTTCCCCCATGGAATAATTGTACAGATTTATACCCTATGGCACAGGGGACAAAAAAGCAATTCCAATTGCATACACTTGTATACTGAAGAGTTTTCATATACTACGCTAGGTTCAGTAAGAATCCTCACTAGAGTTAATTAGGGTAATCTAATAAATTTCTATAGTACTCTGTTAATATGAGTTAATTAGGATAATGTAACAATGTTTCTATAGTACTCTTTTACCATGACTTTTGAGCCCATAGCTGAACTTGCGACTGTAGCTTTAGACTGCCTGTCCTTCCTTTTTTGTCTTTGCACCATGTTAATTCATTGGTAGTTATCTGTGGAAGTTCTATATGTATTAGCTATTGCAATATAAAGATGGCTCAAAGGTAACAGGAACGCACTAAAGTAGAGTCTACAAAAGTTTTGTTTTTCACTCATGGGAATACAATACAAAAATAAGTAAATTAACTTAACCTCAGACATACCAGTCTATAATCATCTATGTCATCAGTTCTGAACCTGTGGGTCACAACCCCTTTGTGGGTAGAATGACCCTTTCACAGCGGTCACATATCAGATGTCCTGTATGTCAGATATTTACATTGCTATTCATAACAGTGGCAAAATTATTCTTATAAAGTAGCAACAAAATAATTTTATGTTTGGGGGTCACCATAGCATGAGGAATTGTATTAAAAGGTTACAGCATTCAGAGGGTTGAAAACCACTGGCCTGTGCTATAAAGACATTTCTGTATTTCCTTGTGTTGTTAAAGGTGATTTAAAAATTAGCTTTAGAACTTTAAACTACTATTAAGCTGTGAAATGTCATCTGTGTGTGTGTGTAATTTTAAAAATAAATTGAAGATTCTATGAACATCTATTAACTCCCCTTTAATGAAAGCAATATGATTTGTTATTATAACCTGCATTTATTTGTCACCAATTTTATAAAGGATGTGTTAGGCCCAGTAGAATATAATAAAAAACCTCTGCCTCACTAGAGATTAGAGTGTAGAAAAACAACTATGAACATTGCTAAGTGAGGTGGAAATAATTCAAATAAAGGAATCAAACTGCTCTTACATGAGTTAAAATCAAGAGCATAGGCCTAGGAGAAAGACGAACAAGACAGGTGAAGAAGAAACATGCTGTTTCATTAAGTTTGTATTTGCATAGACGGTATTCATGACCCACAGAGAAGTCCGCACTAGAAGAGAAGACAGCATGTGGAAAGGAATGGGGACATAGATAGCAGAAGTCATATACTGTGAAACATTCAGGCAGAGGGCTTAAGTTAACTATGGAGCTTAGAAGGAACGTTCAGGAACCTGATCTAACAACAAAGGATATTTAACACATTAACCAGATTTTTAGTCTTTTTACAGGAATATGGTCAGGCTTGAATAGACTAAAAGATACACTGCACCTTTTGCTCTTTTCTTCTGAGCTGTTGGTTATTGATAGTTCTGGGAGAAAAGGAGTGGCTATTGTACACCCACTGCTGAGCCTACAAGGCTCCTAAGGATATTTCCAAACCCACTGCCATGCAGATTGCCCTGGTTAATAGCAGCAGGTCCCAAATCAGTATAAAAGGATTGGTATTGGCAGGGTAGTAGGAAGGTGTTTGCTGACAGTGGTCGGTATGTGTTGACTACATATGCTTTAACTGCCTTATAGTACGTTTATTTAATGAAAATGCAGGTGCTATATGATAAGATGAATAACTGGAAAATTAGAAGTCAGAATCGGGCAATCATCAAAACTCAGTAGTTTTATAAAGAATGAGAAATCTATGTAGTAGCTAACTGTCTTCAATTGTAATGACAATATTGAGTCGATGCTGTTTTGTTTTTGTTTTCCATAGTAGGCGAAACTGCTGAGATTTGCTCGGAAGCCACAGACTTTTTGTGCCAGGACAAGACATGCATTGCATCCCACCTCGTTTGTGACTACAAGCCTGATTGCTCTGACAGGTCTGATGAAGCTCATTGTGGTGAGTTTATCTGTCAGCCACTATGTGGCCTGATCGGCTCAGGTTTTCTTCAGGCACATGGGAGGATCAGAGCGAATGTTCTTTTGGCAGGGCTGGGAGGGAGGGTGCTGAAGAGGTGGCTCTGTACGTACATCACTTCCTATAAATGTAAGCACCTGAGTTTGAATCCTTAGAATACACATAAACTTGACCATTGTAGTATACTTGTCTCTACTCTTAGTGCTCCTATAGGAAGATGGGAGGTGAAGATAGAAGAATCTTCAGAAACAGACAGGTCATTCAGCCTGAAATAGCTAGGGGGAAAAGACAATGGAACCTAGTTTGAATGTGTAAAATGAAATCCATTGACACCTGAGGTTACTCTCTGATCTTAATACATGGTCCCATCGAACATACACAATCATATTCACATATGTGAATATGTGCACCTATCATAAATATGCACACAAAAATTAGTAATACTAATACTGACAATATTGCTCTTTTCATTCAACTAAATTCAAACTGCTCAACATTGCTTCCAACTTTTCGGCAAGGATATCCGAACAGCAGCCTTCTCATTCCCTTTACTTCTGTACAGAAAATTCCATGGGATCACGTTACAAAAAGCCTTCACCATATGTTTGTGCAGAACTAAAGGGGATGTCAGAACTGTAAAACAAGACAAGAACAATAGCGGTCTCCCTTCCACATTGCTTTTATCAACTGCATTTCTTTCAGAGTTCTTCTCTCAAAAAATGTCTGATTAATAGATTGGATAGAAAAAGTAAAAAATATAATTTTTATCAATTATATTGCATCAGCACTAGAAGGATCCCTTTATTTTTTAAAATTCTATTCTTCTAAGTGTAAAAAATGTTTGTAACTTAAAAAGCGCTAGACATGTTTAAATCCAATTTTATGTGTGCATATTACTGCTAAACTTCTATACCAAATCCCACTGTCCTTCTCTGTAGAAGAAGTGCTTGAAAATAGCTCAGATTGAGCTTCAGCTTTTTATTCTTAAGGCTTTACCTTCTGGGGTTCTAAAATACCAGGCCTGTACTTCTATATATGCCTCCAAATGGAATCTTTATGTTGTTGTCTGTTTTCACTTTATTGGTTGAAATTAGGATCTTTTGCATAATAGATACTCTGCCAGTGAACTTGAGCTATGAACAGCTCATTAACACGGAGTCTTGACACTAATAAGATGTCTATTGCAATTGTAGTTGGCTACAAATAAGCTACCCCAAATGCTAGTGGTCCTGACAGCAGTTTCATATTTGGTCACTTTGTGAGTTGATAATCAACTTGGTAGATAGATTCAGAATGATAACTGGACAATCAGCTCTGTGACAGTTTCTTCCTCTCTCAACTTGGACAGCTAGTACTCTGGTTTCATACTTCGTATGGAACCTCATCCTCCATGGGTAAGACATACAATTTGTGCTCACATACTAAGGCCTCCATACAGGACAAAAAAGTCATCTTATAAGGTGCTGGCTTCTATCAGAGTTGATCCTCCTAGAACCCCTAATCAAAGAGCCACAGGAAATCTAACCTAAGTTCATTTGTCTTAACTGTAGATGTCCCAAATGTCATATGAAACCAATTTTGATTGCCAAGTAACAGTCTGCTCTAGATATAAGGAGATAAAAGAACTATATATGCAAATATTCTCTATAATAAGGGAGATGAGAACTATTGATGACATTATTGAAGTCAGGAAGCCACATAAACAGATTTGTTTCTAGTTTTCTCTTTTTAAAAAATAAAAAGTAAAATATAAAATAAAAAGCATCATATCAAATTTTAAAAAGAGAAACCAACAGAAAAGTAAAAGACCCCAAGTGAAGACACAAGAATTAGAGACCCACTCGTTTACACATTTAGGTGTCCTATAAGAGTATTAATCTGTAAGCTACAGTATATTTGCAGATGACCTGGTAGAGACCTGTGAAGGCCCTGTGCTTGCTGCTTCCTTGGGTTTGTAAGAACCTTCCTCAGTAGATTTAGAAGGTCTTGTTCTCTTGGTGTCCTCTAGTCCTTCTGTCTCCCTGATTTCTGCCTCTTCTGAGGAGTTCTCTGAGCTCTGAAGGAAGGGATTTGATGGAGACAGCTCATTCAGAGCTGCGTGTTTTATGGTCTCACTCTCTGTGTAATGTCTGGTTGTGGGTCTGTATTTGTTCCCTTTTGTTGCAGGAGGAAGTATCTACAATGATGACTGAATAAGGCACCGAACTATGAGTATAGCACAGAGTCAATAGGTCATTGTGCTGTTCCTTTTTGTTTTCAGATCAGTAGTGCTTGGTTTGTTTAACTCTGCATAACTTTCATTCCTGAGATCTAATTATGACAATGACTCTGCCGCACTTATTTCCCCCTTAATCCTTTTGGTTGTGTCTATTATTTCTTAATTATTTTGTAAAATAAGCATAACAGAAAAATTTGTATTTAGATCACTTTATATAGAGAGTATAGTGAAATTATTCATATTTATGTTGTTGTTCAACCTCCACCAATATCCATCTCTAGAATGCTTAGAAATTTGTAAGTTGTCTATTAAACAACAACTCTCCAAATTCCCAGTCCATGACAACCAACCTTCTATAACTGTGTTCTCAGTGGCTTATTTAAGTAATTCATGAGACGTGTATGTTGCTATTGCTGACTTTTTTCACTTAAAATAATGTTTTCAATATTTAGGTAGTTTGTGTGTGTGTGTGTGTGTGTGTGTGTGTGTGTGTGTGTGTGTGTGGTATATTAAGACAGGGTTTCTCTTTGTAGCCATGCCTATATGTCTGTCCTGGAACTTACTTTGTAGAACATGCTAGCCGCAAACTCACAGAGATCCACCTGTCTCTGCCTCCAAAGAAGTGGAATTAGAGGCATGTGCCACCACGCCTGGCTGTGCTAATATTTTAATTTTAAATTAAAGTGCAAAAATGAAAAGAATTCTCAAAAATTACAGATTGAATTATGAATGTTGTTATATTATAATACTGATATCACATAAATTATGTTTACCAGAGATATCTTTTATGTAAATTTTAAACTTCAAGTGAATATTAACTTCTTGGACTATTTTTAACTACTTTTAATGAACAAAAATATTTTAGCACTATTTATAAGGACTCAATTTCAATAAGGTTCTAAATGGATGCTGCTCTAAATATTTGTGAATTTGCATTTTTTATAAACAAGTTATAATGTCTACAGAATTTCAGAATCATCAGCGTACAATAGAAAGTTGGGTTAGTTTGCGTAAAAATCTAAAGGAACAATAATTTAAACCTACTGCCATTGACAAATAGTTAAGTAGAAAGGAATGCCATTGTTGTGTTAATATAAAAACGTTCAAATATATTATTCTGATTTTTTTCTGTTGCTATTACCAAATACTTGGGAATGCATGGTAGCAAGACCTTGAGACAGCTGGTCATGTCACGTCCTCAGTGAGGCACAGAAAGAGAATGAATGCATGCGTGCTTAGTCCTCAGCGAGTTTTCTCTGTTTCATATAGTTTAGGATGACCCTTCCAAGGGAATTACCCACACTTGGCTGGGTCTTCTCAAATTAACTGAATTGGAATCAGATAACTTAAGTTAACTTCTCGATTTAACTAAATTAGGACCATCTTCCACAAATGTCCCATTGGCCAACCTAATGTAGACAATCTTTCATTGAGACTGCCTTCCCAAGTTATTCTAGACTGTATCAAGTATACAATCCAAACACCACTAATATTAAATTGTCTTCCTTTAATTTTTTCATATATAAAATATTTATATGAAGATTCAAGGCTATGAATTTCTATTCATAGTATGTGTTAGGAACAAAGAACTGAATATCTAAATATAAAGAAGACATTGTAGGCTTCTAAACTTCAACTTCTATTATGAAAAAATCAGGTGGAAAGAATATTACATGGAATTATAATGTTATTTGATTTTTATGATTCAAGTTTATCATAATGAAGTTTCTTAGTTTAAATTGTAACAAATGCTGTCAATGAGTTTATTACCATTTACTTGTAAATTACAAAAGGAGAATTTGTGTATGTGTTTGTGAACAAGCACACATGATGTAAGATACACACATTTGTATAAGTAATATATAGTTTTATAAACCTAAGAAATAATACTTAATATTTTAATTATTCAAATATAAGTGGCTATTATTTTCTCTTTGTTTTACTATCAGACTGACTCACATAATTTTAATTTTTCCATAGTTTAGATATTGATATAAAAATATACAGATGTGGTCATAGTTTTCAGAACCTAAATTAACTATATATTCATTGGACAAATGTTCACAATTTTGATGATCTACTGAAAAAACATTTTATGCATAAAACCAATGTGTTGTCAATGATAAAGGCAAGTTTCAAAATAATAAACTTGAAAGATTTTGCTCACATCCTTAAAGAGCACTCATGCAGATAAATGATACGCTAATTTCCAAGTTTAATTCACTGATATTGATTTTAATTGCTTTATAGATGCATTGCAGGTATGAAACGTGGATTTGTTCAATTACCTACATATATTACTATGAATAACATAAATGGTATTTAGAGAAATAGATAGAATAAATTGATGTTTGGAGTTATTAAAATGCAGTCTTTATTTTGACTAAGACCCTCAGTTATATTAGTTAAATTAAATTAAATTAAAACCAAGAGCTACAACACATCTACATTTTCAGAGGTTCATTTCCTTCATCTGCATAGTAAAGATGTCATTCATCCTGTAGAGTTCTATAATAATTAACTCAACATATTAAATAAAACATTGCATTGAATTGAATGATAGGTTGGTTTAGCATTCTGGAGTGGTCATATGAGCATCTTCTGTTTCATTATGTTTGCTCTCATTTGAAATTTTCTTCTTTTTACTGAAAATAGTTTTTTCCCCACATAATATATCCTTATTACAGTTTCCACTTCCCCTATTCCTAGTTCCTCCCATCTCCACTTCCCTCCAATTTCACTCCTTTTCTGTATCTTATTAGAA